TTTTTTTTTTAAGAGAGAGAGAGAAGTTTTTTAATATTTATTTTTTAGTTTTCAGTGGTCACAACATCTTTATTTGTATATGGTGCTGATGATCGAACCCAGTGCCAGGCGCATGCCAGGTAAGCGTGCCTCCGCTGAGCCATATCCCCAGCCCCTAAACTCTTTTTTTGAGAGTGTTAACCTAAAAAGAAAAAGAAAGAAAATCTCCAAAAAAAAATTTATTTGGGACTAGCATTGCTATGGGAAGAGCATAACATTGCATGGAGATACACATTCACAGTAAACTCTGGGTTTATTCAAGGAGTTTGAGACAAGGGAAGAGTTTTAAAGACAAAAACCTGGAGGACTGCATTGGATATTTTGAACCTATAATCTTTGACCACAGTGATTAATAACAAGAATGGCAACAGCCTGTGGTTGAACAGACAGTTGCTGGGCAGATGTCCTTGCAGAAATATTTTTTGTATAAGGTTGCATTGGCCTTCATGCAAGCTTGTGGTTTGGCAAACTCTTCTTCGGTGATAGTTATCATCAGGCAATCTTGCATAAGAACACTTCCTTCATAACCTCTTGGCTTTGACTCCACAATGACTCCATTTTGATTCTGACAACTTTCACATTTTTTTTAACCAAAGTTTTCTCTTTGATCTGAGAAAGGTTTATGCTGATCCTTCAAGCTTCACCCATTCACACATTCTACTGTTAGGAGTAGGAGAGCTATAAACATAGAAAGCTGTAAGGGTAGATTCAACCATGGTAGCAGGTGATCCTCCTTTTATCTTGTCTTCCTATCTTCTCTCAGACTTCCCAGAATCCTTCTTCCACAGCTCCCAGTCCCAGCAGCTGTATTAATCTGTCTACTTCCTCCAGTATAACCTCCCCTTTCCCTCTCTGGTTCTAGACTTGCTTTCTTCTGGTCATCTAGACTATTTTCACCCCTTCAGACTCTCCCTCTCATTAAACCAAAAAGACAATAATGCACTAATGTTCTACAATTGGGCAAGGGAAATGTGAAGAATTTCTTGATGTGTAGGAATGAATCTTACTTAAAAGAATATTAGGCAGTTTGAGAGGTGAGGGAGGGACTAGAGAAGTACAGGAAGGTCCTAGTGAGCAAGAGAACTGGAGATGGGCAGTGCATGCTGATGACTGAATTGTGAATATTCTGGCCTGTGTTGTCCTGGTCAATTATAAAGAGAACTCTTCCTGGTATGGGGGCATTTACAAAACAAAAAAGAAAAAAAAAATATATTGGATTTCATTCCAAATTTTGGCTCCTCTTTCTAGTCCTAGTTCACTTATGATGTGAAAAGTAGTGACTGAAACATACCTCCTAGAGAGGGCAAAGCTCCAAACCATTGACTTAACCAAGGCCATTCTTAAAAGTGATCCTCAGATCAGCAGCAGCACCAGCAGCACCTGGGAAGTAGAGAGAGAAAATGCAAATTATCTGGTCCTACCCTGGTCCTCTTGAATCAGAATCTTTGCTGGTAAGGCGTAGCCATCTGTGTTCTAACAAGACCTCCAGGTTCATCTTGTATCTACTCAAGTTCAAGAACCACTAATGAAGAGTTAAAGCCTTGGACTTTGCATGGGAAGGTAGGATTAAAATCATATCTACACCACTATTGATACTACACATTGTTTCTAAAAGGCTTTAAGATGCTTCTGTGTTTCCAATTCCCTGTGTGACCTTAGGCATTCTACATAAACAATCTGAATCTCTTTATTTAGCTATAAAATAGAATTCATGATATTAAATTCAGAGTTGTGAGGAAATGTGGAGTAATTATAACTGAAAAGTTTAGGAAATGCAGAGAAATACATACTAAAAAGTATGTTTGAAATTGTAAAGCAATGTGAAAATATCAAGGTCAATAATACCTTCATTCCTTCTCTTTTTTCCCCTTCCTTTCTTTCCTCCCTGTCTTTCCCATCCTTTCTGTAACTTGCTCTATTTTTTTTTCATTCCGTTTTTCTTTTCTCTTTTCCTTCCTTGTCTGTATGTTTAGTGTCATAGCTTTGGGTTTTAAATTAACCCTAAATGCTCTTAGTATTGAATTTATACTCCACTGCATTAAACATCCTATTTGGAAAAAAGAATTAAAAAAATTAAAAAACTTTCTGTATTGAATCCTCAGAAATAGTTTTATTAATCACTGCCCTTACCAAAAAATGTTATGAGATTAAATGATTCAGAAATATTTGGATTAAATTTCCCTATTACCATTTTCCCAAAAAAGTAATTTTTTTAAATTGTGGAAAAACCTCTTTGGCATAACACTTTTCAAATTTGGGAAATAATGTAGATATTCCAATCCCAAATACCGCTGAATTTATGTCTCTGTTGGTATGAAACACTTAGTGGCTTATCAATTTCAGAATACAAATAAAAAGAATGTGTGTCCACAAACTGCTTTTTTTGCTTTATAAAATAGGCATTGTTAAAAAAATAAAAATAAAATAGGCAATATTTATTTGAGGCCTTAAAATTCTACTATTGTGTCCAACTGAAAAAGAATAGACAAAACGCCAACAATAAACAAATTTGAGAAATAATTTTAGCTGTACATAGTAAACAAAATACTTCAATTTGACATGCAATATCTTATACTGTCTTTCAGAAAGACTATATATGGAAAGAATATGTGGCTTAGAATTTAATAGGCAAATTACTTTACTTTGATGATGACCAGTTTTCTCATAATTAATAAGAATGGTAATATAACTCTATAAAACTGTAGTAAAAATTAAATTTTTAATTTTAAAAAATAGATAAAATTCACTCTGTCTATATGTTCAGATAAAATCTCAATGTCTTTTGGATCAGGGGAACCATACATATGAAATATTATTTCTATGAAACTTTAAGTATTTATAGATTAGTTTGAATTCCTAGACAAAAGAAAATTCTGATAGAAAAGTGAAAATTATGAGAAAATAGGGATTTGGTGAGTCTACAAAATTCTAGAAAGTCACTATTCTGAAAACACAAATTATTTCATTTCATAAGTGAAACTGAATGGCTTATTGGAATATCACTTAACCAATTAGTTTATGCTTTAAATTATTTCATATTTAGAAAATAAAATGTTCATAAAGCAATAAAATCACTTCACAGTAATATCACCAAATTCTATTGACATTGAATGCTCCGTTAAACTGAGTTAAAGAGCTTTACCCAGTCATCTGAAAGGGATTTTCAATTTTAATTGTTAACAAGTGGTTCTTACCATGACAGTCTTACTCATGGTTTAATTGACTCAAGTCTGGCTTGAAAAATGAGGGTATAACAAATCTAATCCTACTTCTTATCCGTAGCCAACCATTAAATTCGTACTCCGTGGGTTTCCCGGCTTCTCAACTTCTCTGCATTATCTCCATCACTTGCAATCCTATATCTCCTTGAAAAGTTCCTCCATGAACTCTTTGATTGTGCCCCTATCCCCTTAAATTGGTGTAGAATCTTTCTGATCTTTGCATCCCTATAAACTTTATAAATTATGCTTTACCCTATCTCATTTTATCACTACTTGTGGTGCCTGTCCTGTGAGCCCTCTAGATATGTTTTACCTCAGCATCATCTGCAGAGTCTAAATGAGAATTTAGCACAGCATATAGAAGCATACAGAGTTAAATTGTTCTTGCAGAGTGGGCAGTAGAACACAGGCTCTAGGAGCCAGGTTTGGCTTACATATTGGACTGAGTAAGTCATTTTGGCCACAAAGATAAAGCCACACATGAAAACAATTTGCTTCATCACAGATTGGTTTCCTTTGCCACGTGTGTTATTTAGGCAAAACCTGTTATACCTCTTTCCCTATTTGACTTTTTTTGTAAAGAGCTAAGGAAAGATATCTTCCATTTGATTTTGACTTTTTTTTCTGGAATGGACATAGGGACACTGATATATTACAAATAAAGGAAATCGATAATATATGAACTATGAAATAGAGCATTTTAAAAATACTGAAATAGAGCAATACCATTTTAAAAATGTTTACCCTTCTCATTTTTGTTTTGTTTTTGTTTGGTTGTTTGGTTGGTTGGTCCTCCTTTGCTTGGGAGACATTCTAAAATGCAATGTTTGATGTGCTGATGTAACATTTTTTTCACAATAATCACTGAGACGTCATTTCATTATAACATGGACATGAAATATCTCACGACCCCCTTCAAAGAACAAATTGTTGATTCCAACTGATTCCTACTTCTTATCCGAGTAATTAATTGT